AGCCAGCAACTTGCCATACATATCAGTTTTCTCCTTCTGGTTTGGCGTGAAGGTAGGAAAATTAGACACTAAAGGGATAATTTGAGAAGTCAGCCTTCATGGCAGGCACCAACCAGCTCGTTTGTCTTGAAAAGAATATGTAGGTACTTGAGAGAAAGTGAATGAGCAGCTTAGAAGTATCAGGCCTATGGGCTGGGAAGGTGGCTCAGTGGTAGAGCGCTTGCCTTGCATGCATGAGGCCCTGGGTTCGATTCTTCAGCACCACATAAGCAAAAAGAAAAAAACAGGAAGTGGCACTGTGGCTCAAGTGGTAGAGTGCTAGCCTTGAGCTGAAGAGTTGAGGGACAGCGCCCAGGCCCAGAGTTCAGGCCCCACGACTGGACCCAAAAAAAAAAGAAAAAAAAAAGAATCAGGCCTTAAGATGGACCCTAAAACCAGGTGCTGGTGGCTCATACCTGTAATCCTAGCTATTCAGGAGGCTGAAATCTGAGGATCACGGTTCAAAGCCAGCCTGGTCAGGAAAAGTCCATGAGACTCTTATCTCCAATAAACCACCAGAAAACCAGAAGTGGCACTGTAGCTCAAAGGGTAGAGCACTAGCCTTAAGCTGAAGTGCTGAGGAACAGTGGCCAGGCCCAGAATTCAAGCCCCATGACAAAAATAAAAAAAGAAAGAAAAAAAGATGAACCCTAGAGCCTACCTATACTGCTACAAAGGAAGAAGACACACACACACACACACACACACACACACACACACAAGTAGTTAACGAACTGCAGCAAGAATTAAGTAGAATGAAGTTCTAGAACTGATTTATTTAATGTTATGTTCATACAGGTATAGCTCTTTAGCACTTCTAATCCTCAAACAAGGATATTTCTATTAGAAATGAAAGTCTAGGTATGTATTAAAAGAAATAATACTCTGGTAAAAGAAGGCATGTGTGGCCAGGGTCCCCTGTTACCATGGCTGTCACTACTGCTGTTCTGTATTTGCAATGTTTCTGTCCAAGAAAATTGCTTCCTGTGACATTATAAGGCATGTACATCTGGCTTTTGCCCAGATTCACGGCACACAGCTCCTAAAAGCCTCAAGTCTCCAGAATAGTGTCTTTTGGGGGGGGGGGAGTTGTGGGGGTTGAACTCAGGGACTGGGCACTTCCCTGAGCCTCTTTGTGCTCAAGGCTACCACTTGACCCACAGCACCATTTCTGGTTTTCTAGTGGTTGACTGGAGATGAGTCTCACAGACTTTCCTGCCCAGGCTGGTTTTGAGCCCCCATCCTTAGATCTCAGCCTCCTGCGTAGCTAGGATTATAGACATGAGCCACCAGTACCCAGTTGTAGTAGTGTCTTTTTATATGTCTTTTTACAAGCTAGTGAGGGGAGTGGTGGATGAAGCATTTTGGGTGGCCTCTATGTGAGGGGCTGCCAGGAGAACCAGGCGTGCAACCCTCCTGAGAGAGAAGAGCTAGAGATCCAGTTCATACATCCATGTGAGAAAGTCACCATTGGAGCCTCTAGCTCAGAGTGCTTCTGGGCAGTGAACATAAAGCAATACAGTGAGTTGTCATGCCCAGAGAAAATGCTCAAACAGCCCTCTTCTCACATTCCTCTGCACCACTCCCTTCTGACAGGTTCTGGTTCGGTGTATCTTTTAATGAATCAGTACTCTAGTAAGGAAGCTATTTTCTTAAATTCTGTGAGCTAATCTAGCAAACTATCAAACCTTTGCAGAACTAGTTGGTCAGAAACACAGGGGACAAGACAAGTTGGACTTGCAAATGGTGTCCTGATTGGGGAGGGGACAGGGAGACTGAGCCCTTCACTTTACAGGACCTGATACCACCTCCAAGTACATAACATCGCTACACTGTAGAACATGCACTGGGGTCCACCAAAAAATGGAAAATTGCTTAGTGTGGAAAATCTTGCACATTTGGTGACCATAAATTCTGTGGGTGACTGGAAGAAAACAAGAGTTCCTGCCAATTCACCCTCTAAAGGTGACTAAACAATAGGAGGAGGACTACAGGTTCTGGATGATCCCAGTGGGGAGGTCAGTGGAGGCTGACAGAGACAGGTCTGATCTATACAAAGAGGGTTTTCTGTGGTTGTGGTTGTTGCTTGTGCTGGTACTGGGTCTTGAATTCAGAGCCTGCGCACTGCCTTGTAGCTTTTTCACTCAAGGCTGGTACTCTATTACTTGAGCTACAGCTCTACTTCAGGCTTTTTGCTGGTTAGTAGGAGATAAAGAGTCTCACAGAATTTTCTGCACTGACTGGCTTCTAACTGCGATTCTCAGATCTCAGTCCCCAGAGTAGGCATGAACACAGGTACTGGCTATGGTTTGTTTATTTATTTATTGTCAGTTGTGGGGCTTGAACTCTGGGCCTTGGTGTTATTCCTCAGCTCTTCAGCTCAAGGCTAACGCTCTACCACTTGAGCCACAGCGCTGCTTCCGGCTTTTTTCTTTTTGCTTATGTGGTGCTGAGGAATTGAACCCAGTGCCTCAGGCCTGCAAGACAAGTGCTCTACCACTGAGCCACCTTCCCAGCCCCACTTCCGGTTTTCTGAGTGGTTTATTGGAGATAAGAGTCTCTTGGGCTTTCCTGCCTGGGCTGGCTTTGAACCATGATTCTCAGATCTCAGCCTCCTGAGTAGCTAGAATTACAGGTGTGAGCCACCAACACCCGGCTTGTTTTTGTTTTCCTAAGACAAGGTTTCACTGTGTAGGCCAGACTGTCCTCAAACTTCTGATCCTCTTGCTTCACCTTCCCAAGTAGCTAGGATTATAGATGTGCACAACCATTCTTGTTAAAAGAGCTACTTTAGTCTTTCTGCTTCATGGTTCAGAAAGCAACTGGATTATAGCTCAGTGATATAATGCTCATGCATGAGACTGGATTTGATTTCTGATGAAGAAGATGAAGAGGAAGAGGAGGAAGTGAAGGTGGAGGTTCAATTCCAAAATTGCCCCCAAAGAGGAAAATTATCATGTTAGATGTGTACTTGTGTTCTGTAGTCAAGAGTCAATGAAAGGATATCAAATGACTACAAGCATGGTAAACCATAGACAGATACAAGTAGAAAATAAGCAGAAACAGTAAGTTTTTGGTCCTTGACACACTTTTATTTTGTTTTTAATTAAGAATACATTTGTAGTACGAAGGGGTTTCATTGTGGCATTTCCATACACACACACACACACACACACACACACACACAGAGTACACACACACAGAGTACACATTGAACAAACCCACTTCTCCCTCCCCCAACCTCCTTCCTTTTTCAAACAGCATTTAGTGTGTTTTATTGTGCTCTATTGTTTTGTGTGTGTAAGACAGTACTGGGGTTTCAACTCTGGGCCTGGAGCTTACAAGGCAGTTAAATTGTGTCCCCCAACCTGACATACATTTCTTTAAGACTTTTTAATAAACTATTCCATTTTTTGTGGGAAGTAGGTTGATTTGAAAAGTATGTTTATCTAACTATTCCAACATTTGCCTCTTTTCTATCTCATTGATATGTTAAGTATAAGAAAATCCTTCTGTTAAGAAAATGTTTCTTGGGGCTGGGAATGTGGCTTAGTGCTTCAGTGCTTGCCTAGCATGCATGAAGCCCGAGGTTCAATTCCTCAGTACCAGATAAACAGAAAAAGCCAGAAATGGCACTGTGGCTCAAGTGGAAGAATGCTAGCCTTGAGCAAAAGAAGCTCAGGGACAGTGCTCAGGCCCTGAGTTCAAGTTCCAGGACTGGAAAAAAAGAAAGAGAAAGAAAGAGAGAAAGAAAGAGAAGAAGGAAGGAAGGAAGGAAGAAAATGATTCTTGGAGTTATGGCTTAAGTAATAGAGTGCCTGTCTAGCAAGCATGAGGCCATGATTTCAATACCATCAAAAATTTATTCTTTTCATGTCAAATTTTAAACTTTTTAAACAGTCAAGTTTACATCATTTTGTCTTTCCAATTTTATCTCTTTGGTTTGGTTTGTTTGTTTGGTGTATGTGTGTGTGTATACATGCATACCAGTACTGGGACTTGAACTCTGGGCCTGAATGCTGTTCATTTTTCACTTAAGGCTGGTGCTCTACCACTTGAGTCATAGGTCTACTTCCAGCTTCTTGCTGATTATTGGAGACAAGAGTCTCATGGACTTCTAAGTGCCAGCTTGTCTCTTGTTCTAAAAACCTTTCTTGGACTGGGAAGGTGTCTTAGTAGTAGAGTGCTTGTCTAGCATGCATGAAGCCCTGGCTTTGATTCCTCTGTACCACATACACAGAAAAAGCCAGAAGTGAAAAAAAATTTAAAAAAAAAGAGCCAGAAGTGGTGCTGTGGCTCAAGTGGTAGAGTGCTAGTCCTGAACAAAAGAAGCTCAGGGACAGCCCTCAAGTCCCGAGTTCAAGCCCCAGGATTGTCACACACAAAAGGCCAAAATGCTTTCTCTCACAATGAAATTCCCTTGTACTATTAATATATGCTAATTAAAATAAAACAAAAAATTAAAAACCTTCATTTCAAAGTTACTTTTTGACATTATTTGACAATTCTACAAGTATTTTTTCAGATTCTCTTATATACTTAAAACACTAGTGTACCTAGAAATTATTTTACAGTAGCAATCAGCTCTGATCTTTTCATTTCTTTCTAGCCATGGTTCTTTGCTAAGTGATCCAGCTTCCTGGGCCCTGGTACCCAGATTTCCCACATCTTGGGGAACAAGACTGATGGAATCTGGCTTCTTTGCACACTTTTGTTTGTGACCCAGGAACCCCTACCTTCTCTCCTTTCCCTGGGGAAAGGAGACTCCAAGAGGAACACTGCTCGCACAGGAGCATATGGGCTGCAGTGACCTGAATGTACATTTGACTCAGTCACAGACTATAGCATTTCCTCTGTCACCTTGCCCTGACTTCCTTCCACCCAGCCCTCCCACCCATCTGTGCACTGCCTGGCAGCTCTTCAGCAAGGAAATTTGCATGATGCAGAAGCAGGAGGGTTCGTGGGGATTGCTCCATTGAGCCATGGTCTGTCCAGCTATCCCCCGGCTGCTCCTGGCTATGACACTTTCCTTGCTGGCATCCCCAATTATCCCCACATCCCAGCCTGTAAGTATGACTGGGGTGAAGATTTCGGGAGGGTCTGAAGAATTCAGAGTAAGGACCTCAGGTTTTGTGAGATGTAAGAACAGGTAAAGGGCAAGGACTGAAAGGAAAGGGTTGGCTTGTGGTGGGACAGTCAGCCCTGGGGACAATTCTTATTTCTTCATCTGAGTCTGTGTGAGACCCAATGACACCTACTGTCCTTTAGATAAAGGCCCTGTTGGTCATACTAAGGATTTTAAAAAGGAAAAGGAATGACAAACTTACCAAATTTAGCATTGAGGATAGGACAGAATCTAAGAAAAGTAAGCAGAGCCTAGATTAGTATTTTTTAAATCTATTTTCTCTCCGAAAGATATTTCCATTGATATCTATATAACCTATCTTTAAACTTACCTCTATCTCTAAGACTAAATCTATTGCTGTAGCTACCTTTATCTAAATGGATGACTTTATCAATATCTAACTCTACATTTTATCCTTACCTTTGAACCTACCTGATTGATTGATTGAATAATTGATTGATTGGGGGGGGTTCTGGAGTTATTCTAGATTATTTTTCACATAGCCTCATTTCTTTTTTGTCTTGTACAGTGATGTTTCCTCCTTTGCCTCTCCTCAGAGCTGAGATTACAGGTGTAGACCACCATAGCTTGCTAATTATTAATTTATTTTTATTGAGACAGAATCTTTATACGTTGCCCAGGCAGCTTTCAGACTCAAGTCAGCCCAAGTGATCCTTCTGCCTCCTGCCACTACAGATGACCCATCAGACCCAGCTTGCACTTGGTATTTTCAGAGAGGAGAGAGTAAGCAAGGAAATCATTCCCAGGAACTTGAAATTAAAGGAAGATACTCATTGCTCACCTCCCTGTGGAGGGACTAATAAGGCCTCCACACAGCCTGGCACTAGCCAGCATCCCTGCTGGGGCTCTAGTCCTTGCCATCTTCATTAGCCTAGGGGCCCAGGGACAGGTAAATTCAGGAAGGAGCTAAACAAAGCATGTTGACTCCCAGGGTGTGTCTGGTTCCTGGGTCCAGATGAGACCGCAGTCCCTGGTGGGATCTCTGGGTTGTGTCCCTGGTACCTCTACTGGAAGCCTGCTTCCCCCTTCTGATACATGCACTTGATGCCTAGCAAAAAGAAGAGCTTGGAAACCACCAAGTCATTCCTGATTTTTCAGGCCAGCCCCAAAGTCACCTCTCCTCAGAGGCCTCTCCTCATGTGTGTGTGTGTGTGTGTGTGTGTGTGTAATACCCTTGACCTTTTTTACTCAAGACTGGCACTGTACCACTTGAGCCACAGCTCCACTTCAAGGTTTGTAGTGATTAATTGGAGGTAAGAGTCTCACAGTCTTTCCACCTGGGCTGGCTTCAAAGTTCCATCCTCAGCGCTCAGCCTCTGAGTAATTAGGATTACAGGCATGGGCCACTGGTGCCTGGCTAGAGGCATCTCCTTTGTACTGTTCCAGGAACAAAGTCAGGCTGGAGGAGAACCTCTGCAGCAGCTGGACCGAGACAATGGAGCAGAGGGTAAGAAGAAAGAACAAACAGGAAATGGAAGCAGGGAAGGCCAAAAGGAAGAACCAGGAGGGACAGAGAGAGAGAGAGAGAGGCCCTGCTCTGGGTGGATCAGACTAGAGCAGTACATTCCCTGTGCCGTACGAGTTTCAGGAAGAGTGACATGAAGCTGTGTCTGAATACTCTAGGCTAGTGCAGAAGTCGTCCTGCATTCCATGTGTGTGTGCCTAGACAGGTGATGGGAGAATGCATTTGCCCATGTTGCCTATGGGAGGCAAAAGAGACTGGCACAGGGTCTTGCTGCCTCTGCTCCCCTGCAGTACCTTGTGCCCTCTGCTCCTACAGAGTCAGTCTTGGTTTCCATCTATGTACATCTGGAATTTCCAGACAGGATCTGGCCACCAGCCCTCTCCAGGACTCTGATTCTCCCTGCTGCCTCAGCCTCCTCTTCCCCAAGAACACTCACTGGTCTCCATCTGACCACAGGTAACAGTGGCGGAGGAAGAGGGCTTGGAGGGAAGGGAGCCCGTGCTTCCAGCCCTCTCACTGCCAGCTTGCCTGAGTGAGAGATGCCCGTCCCATTCTAGTTCCCTGACCCAGCTCCTTCCTCATCTTCCTGCCAACAGACCCCTCCCTGTTCACCATCCAGTCTTGTCACTTGTGCACAGTGACAAGACAGAGTAGGCCAGGCCTTCTCCACCCCTTCACCTGATGCCCCTGCATGGACTCTGCCATTCCACGTATGCCTGAGCTGCAGAGGTGTCCTGATGGGTGGGCATGGCCAAGGCCCCTGGAACTTGTGGAGACCCAACCCTACAGCTGCTTAGGCATCCTTCCATTTCAGGTCCTGTTGCCTGGCTTTGTCAGCCTGTCTGCTTCTAAGTCCCTTTCTCACTGTCACAGAATGTAATGCCAACAGCACAGGGCACAGCCACTGTACTTGTCGCTCTGGCTACCAATGGAACAACACGGTCTGTTCCCAACATGTTCTCTGTGACCACCACCTTCAGCTTTGCAAATGCCTCATCTTCCACCATTCTGTCCCTGGCTACTGCCAGTTGCTGCCACCAGGTGAGGACTTCTGGGAACTGGGAAACTGGCATCCTTGTGTGAAAGCATTATCTAAAGCAAGACATTCTGTGATTTTTCTCCCAACTGGTCCAAGCCCAGCTGCTCCTCCAGGCAGGCCAAAAAACCGGCCACCATAGCAAACTGTGAGCTAGGGACCTAAGCAATAAGAATAATGAATGGTGTCCCCAGAGACAAAGGGACAAGGGGAGGAAGGACACAGTGACCTTGCTTTTCAGCTCCAGCAGCCCCAAGTTCCTGAGAAGTGATAGGCCAAAAGGCTTCCTTCCTGGATTCCCAATGGGAGGGTCTTCCAGGCAGCATTGCAGTAGCCACACTCACATGCATGTGCATGGAACAACAACAACAAAAAGCCGGGGCCCCGTGGCTCACGCCTGTAATCCTAGCTACTCAGGAGGCTGAGATCTGAGGATCAAGGGTCAAAGCCAGTCTGGGCAGGAAACTCGGTGAGACGCTTATCTCCAATAAACTACTAGAAAACTGGAAGTGGCGCTGTGGCTCAAGCGGTAGAGTGCTAGCCTTGAGCTGAAGAGCTGAGGGTCAGTGCCCAGGCCCAGAGTTCAACCCCCATGACTGACAAAACAACAACAACAACAAATAAGCTGGGCATGGAGGGATGGGCTACAGAAGCTGTGGAAGGACAGAACTCCTCCTCCAGGCCTCTGTCTCCTGTTTCCCCACAGTGCCCGGCAAGCTGAGCCTGAGCTCCCCACTGCAGAGGCCTGGCAACACACTCAACCTCATGCTCCTCACGAACCAGCCAGCCACCCATGTGAAGTGGTTCCTGAAGCGCCCAAGGAGCTCTACACCTATCATTCTGCAGTCAGGAACACAGGTGTCCCTGACCTCCAGCCAGGGCCAGGCTGCCCTCAGCATTGCCCACATGTCCCACCACTGGGCAGGTAGCCCTATCTCTTCCTGCCTAGATCTCTCTTCTCTTTCTCTTCCTTTCCCTTCCTCCTCCCTCTTCTCCTTCCCTTCCCTTCCTTTTCCTCTCACCTCTCCCTACTCATTTTCCTATTGATTTATTTATTTTGTCAGTCATGGGGCTTGAACTCTGGGCCTGGGCACTATCCCTCAGCTCTTCAGCTCAAAGCTAGTGCACTACCACTTGAGCCACAGCACCACTTCCAGTTTTCTAGTGGTTTATTGCAGATAAGAGTCTCACAGAGTTTCCTGCCTGAGCTGGCTTTGAACCATGATCCTCAGGTCTCAGCCTCCTGAGTAGCTAGAACTATAGGTGTGAGCCATCAACGCTCGGCCTTCCTATTTATTTTTATTTATTGTGTCAGTACTGGGGCTTGAACTCCAAGGCCTTGTACTCTTGCTCAGCTTTTTTATTCAAAGCTGGCACTCTACCACTTGAACCACATCTCTACTTCTGGCTTGGGTTTTTGTTGTTGTTGTTTTTTGCTGATTAATTGGTGATAAGAGTCTCACAGACTTTTTCTGCCTAGACTGGCTGCAAACTGCAGTTCTCAGATCTCAGCATCCTAAGTAGCTAGGATTACAGGTGTGAGTCACCAACAGCCAGCTCTTTTTTTAAATTTATTCTTATTAGCATATATTAGTTGCTAATATTTTAGCATATATTAGTTTTTATTAGCCTATATTGGTTTTTTATATTAGTTGCATGGGAGGATTTTGTTGTGATAGTCTATAATATGGAGAATTTCTTAAAAACACCACTGAAATTTCCACTACAGTCTGGGGACATCTGGACCCTTTCAGGACTTCAGAAGTCCCAGTAGTTGTCCTAGGATAGCAAGCTGTTATATAGCCATATCACAGCAAGTGAATGTGGAAGAGACACAGTTCTCAGCCAAACATTCATTAAAGAGACATTGCAAAAGTGTAAAACAACGTCACTCTTTTAATTATGTTTTGGTTTGGAAAGTATACTTACTTGTTCATAGATGCACTCCTGTTAGCAAAGGAAATGCATAATCTGGAGAATGCTGGAAATATAGCAATTTCAGCTGTGGGCCAGAGGCATGGCTAAAAATACACAGCTTTTACCTACCAATCTCAAAGCCAGGAGTTCAAATTCAAATACCACATTTTAAAAAACAAAAAAGACACCAGGCACTGGTGGTCCATGCCTGTAATCCTAGCTACTCAGAAAGCTGAGATCTGAGGATTATGGTTCAAAGCCATTCTGGGCAGGAAAGTCCATGAGACTCTTACTTCCAAGTAACCACCAGAAAACCAGAAGTGGTGCTGTGGCTTAAAGTGGTAGAGTACTAGCCTATATCAAAACAGCTCAGAAACAGTGCCTAGGCCCTGAGTTCAAGCCCCATGACTGACAAAGAGACAGAGAGGGAGGGGGGAGAGAGAGAGAGAGAGAGAGAGAAAGAGAAAGAAAGAAAGAAAGCAAGCACTGAATTTCAGCTGAGAATAGACTGCTGTTTAATCTACATGTTAAATGACAGGAGATAGCATAGGAATGGAATGTATCATGCTGTGAGCAAAGATGCTCACCTCATAATTTATGGTCACCAGGTAAGAAGGAAGGGCCTGGAACCTCTTCTTCCTCATACAAGTCCTTGTTGGGGGTAGGAAATATCCTCCAAAAGGGTCACCCTGAGACCATTCTGGTGGAGAGTAAGCTCTGAGTGACCAGCAGAAGTGGGAATAAAGTAGGAGGACATGAACTGTGGCTTGGGAAGCAGCAGAGATTGTGGGGTGCAAACAGGTCTGTGGTAGTACCAATGTGCAAAAGGTATGTGTTTGCAGGTGAGTATCTAAGTGTCTTCGAGGCCCAGGAATTCACGTGGAGGCTGAACCACACAGTAGAAGTGCCCTTGCAGAAGACAGACGTGGCTCAACTTCCAGACCAGCTGTCCATTTCCTGTGCCACCTCCCCTGGCTTCCAGTTGAGTTGCTGTGTCCCCACCACAAACTTAGTTTACACAGCTGCCTGGAGCCCCATGGAGGGCAGCCAAGGTAGGAGTGAAAGGGCCTAGCTGATCTCCACCAGGTAACCGAGTCTTCACCTTATGGGAGTTTTGGGTGCATGGGGGGGGGGGTCCTAAGTCCAACACAATTGTACCTTATCAAGAACAATCCAGTTTGGTTGATATCAATACAACCATGTATACATCCACAGAATCCCACTTAGCTCTTGCAATAAATCCATTGAGATTAGTTTGTTGATAGTCCTCATTTGCCAAGCGAGGAAGGTAACTGTGGAAACTGAGTCCTGGAGCTAGAGATATCCCCTCCCCCACCAGTGCCCGTTGACAGAGTTCTAATCCTGCTCTGTGATTGGATACCCACAGCGCACTGTTCTCTTTCCCACTGCTTCATCCACTTTTAAATTTTCTAGATGGACTGAACAGCATGGGGCCTGCTGGGTTCTGCCCTGATATTCCCTTTTCCCATCTCTCTCACCCTCAGCCTTCTCACACAACACAGCAGGCTCTCAGTGCCTTGTGCTGGCTGTTCAGCACTGCCCAGCAGCAGATACCACATATACCTGTGTCCTCAAGAGCCAGGGCCTGCCTCCTCTCAGTATTCCGGTCTCTGTCACCATCATCCGGGGTAGGTAGTACTTGGGCTGACCTCTCAGCTGCTTGTTCTTCCTTTCTCCTGGGTTATGGGGCTAAGCATCAAGGCCTGCATGGGTTTCTGCCCAAAGGCTCAGGTTCGTCCACAGCTGCTAGGTCTAACTCTGATCTCCATTCTTCAGCTGGAGATACCACCTGCCCTGACGACTTTTCAGAAATTGCCTGGAATGTCACCAAGGCCGGCCACATCGCACAGGCCTCGTGTCCTGCAAACAAGAAGGGAGTGGTGAAGAGGCCCTGTGGGCCCAATGGAACCTGGGGACCCATCCAGAGCGACTGCACAGACAAGAGGATCCTAGCCTTGTGTGCTAAGGCCAGGGTAAAGCTGTGACCCACATCCCTCCCTCATAACATGCCCATCCACCCTTCCCTCCCTCAGGACCCACTTTTTGGATCCTTTCCCAAGGCCAGCCCACCACTTACTGGGCTCCTCTGACCTAGCAGAGCCAGGAAGCAGGTGTGGGGCCTCTGCATGGGTCCTAAACCATAGACCCATCAACCCCGCAAGCATCTGTCATCTCACCTCCTCCCGCCTGCCCACTCCTCACTCCCTCAGCTGCTTCAGCTCCCCTGGGAGAGAATGCCCTAGTGAGCCTTCCCCTGACAGCCCTTCCTGTTGCTTTGTTTGTCTCAGCTGCTACAGGCAGGCCAGGGCAATCCTGGTGTGGAGGTGCCCTGGATCCTGAAACAGCTCCAGATGTTGGTGGCGGTAGCAAGCTCACCCTCTGACTTACGGGAACTGCTGAGCACCGTGACAGTACTGGCTGAAGTGGTAGCCAGGGCCAGAGTGCAGCTGGACAGCACTGTCCTGCAGGTGAAACCTCTGAGTCACAGCAGGGGAGCACATCCGGGCATTTCACCTATGGGCACTTCTGCTCCTCATGCAGGCCACCCAAAGTAGACCTTTCTAGGGCCCAAGGTGTCTGCTTTGGATCCTTTGCTCTTCTTAGATACCAGTCTCCAAGGCCATGGAGAATGGAGAAAGCCTGACAGTGGGAACATGTGGGAGGTTGGAGGGCAGGAAAGTGTTGGAGACGTGCAGACAGAAATATGTGTACACACACACGTGTGCACACACATACACACACACAAACACATACACACTATGCCTATACAGAGACAAATACACTTGACTTGACTGGACTCACCTGGCCTGGCTTACAGTACGGGCATTGGTGGGTGACCCATAAACTGCACCTAAAAGAATATTAAGGAGGGGTTGGGAATGTGGCTTAGCAGTAGAGTGCTTGCCTAGCATGCATGAAGCCCTGGGTTCCATTCCTCAGTACCACATCCACAGAAAAAGCTGGAAGTGGTGCTGTGGCTCAAGTGGTAGAGTGCTAGCCTTGAGCAAAAGAAGCTCAGGGACAGTGCCCAGGCCCTGAGTTCAGGCCCAGGACTGGCAAAATAAGAAAAATAAAGGAGCAAAGAATGATAGGACATACCTTTTATGTCCAGGGAAGACATATAGCTGCATAGACATGCAAGTGGCTGTCAACTTCAGATCATTTGTGTCCTGTCACTGGACACCATTTCTAGCTTTGTAGAACTGGAGGGGTTAAAGAATTAGACAGGAAAACACTTAGGACCTGGGTGGCCCCAAGGGATGATGGGCGGGGGAGAAGCGTCATCAGAAAGAAGGGCTGGGTGTGAATCAGGAAATCACATTGGTGACAATGTCTCAGGTGGTTGACTAGGGCTCGCACCCCATTCTTTCTATCCAGAAAGTTTTCTTTATAGACCTGACTTCCTCTCCATGTGTCTTGCTAATCCTTAGTCTTGCTCTGGAGAAGGAAGGACAGAGGTGGGGTGTGTAAGCTGTGGGGCTGCTGTCTCCACACAGTGGACCCTAGTAGATCAAGCTTGTCTTTGTTGCTACTGCAGGATCTCCTGGTAACTACAGACAAAGTTCTAGACATGAACACCAGCACTCTGGTTCCTTTGTGGCCCCTGGCTCAGGCCCAGAAGCCCTCGATGGCATCCGATTTCTTGCTGGCTGTGGAGACGCTGGTACGCAGCCTGTACCCACAAGATCACCCCTTTTTCTTCAACTCATCCAATGTGCTGCTGCAGAGCCATCACTTTGGGCCTCCATTTCCTGATGAGTACCAAATCTCCTTCTCCACGTGGCCCCTCCTTCAGGCACAGATTTCCAGGCACTCATTGGCTCCACTGATTCATGCTGCAACCAACATCAGCATTACTAGCTTAGTGCTGCAGAAACTGGACCATTTTCTGCCCCCAAATTATGGACCAGGGCTGAAAGACTCTCCGTACCATACCCCTGGTCTGGTCCTTGTCATCTCCATCATGGCAGATGGTGAAGCTTTCACCAAGGCAGAAGTCATCATGGACTTTGGGGACCCAGACAGCACCCTGCACTGTGTCTTCTGGGACCACCATCTCTTTCAGGGTAATGGGGGCTGGTCAGAAAAAGGGTGCCAAGCAAAAGCAACCAGTGCCAGCCCCACCGCACGGTGCATCTGCAAGCATCTTACCTCCTTCTCCATCCTTATGTCTCGAAACATTGTTCCAGAAAGTCCCATCCTGGAGCTGCTCACTAAGATGGGCTTGGGAGCTTCCATACTGGCACTGCTTGTGTGCCTTGGTGTGTACAGGCTGGTGTGGAGAGCTGTGGTGAGGAACAAAGTCGCCTTCTTCCGCCACACTGCCCTGTTCAACATGGTGATCTGCTTGCTGGTCGCAGACACTTGCTTTCTTGGAGACACATTCTTTCATCTAGAATTCTGCAGCCCACTCTGTTTGGCCTCTACATTCCTGTGTCATTATTTCTATCTGGCCGCTTTTTTCTGGATGCTGGCGCAGTCCCTGATGTTGGCTCATCAGTTGCTTTTTGTCTTCCATCATCTGTCCAAGCACATAGTTCTCTTCATGATGGTCACCACTGGCTACTTGTGCCCACTGGGGTTTGCAGGTGTGGCCCTGGGCCTCTACCTGCCTCAAGGGCTGTACCTGTGGGAGGGGAGATGCTGGTTGAATGTAAAGGGAGTAGGATTGTACACCTTCTCTGGGCCAGTGCTGGCCATAGTGGGTGTGAATGGGATAGTACTAGCTATAGTTGTGCTGAAGTTGCTGAGACCTTCGCTGTCAGAGGGACCTCCAGCGGAGAAGCACCAAGCTCTTCTGGGGGTACTGAAAGCCTTGCTCATTCTCACACCCATCTTCGGCCTTACCTGGGGATTTGGTATAGCCATTATATTAGAGGACGTCTCCATAGTTCCTCATTACATCTTCACCATTCTCAACACCCTCCAGGTAGGTGATGGTTGACTTTCATTACTGATCATTTCTCGAGGATGTAACAGGGTGGAACACACACACACACACACACACACACACACACACACCACAACCACCACCACCAACAAAAGGACATAGGCTCAGGAATTCTAGAAGGCTTAGGTATAGATTCCAGTTCCTCCACTGCCTACCTGGATCACTTTGGAAAAACTATATAACCTCTCTAAGCTTCTGTTTTTTGTTTTGGGGTTTGTCTTTTTTTTGTTTCTCATGGGGCTTGAACTCTAGGCCTGGGCACTGTCCCTCAGCTCTTCAGCTCAAGCAAGCACTCTACCACTTGAGCCACAGTGCCACGTCCAGTTTTCTGGTGGTTTATTGGAGATAAGAGTTTCATGGACTTTCCTGCTTGGGCTGGCTTTGAACTTCAGAACCTGAGATCCTCAGATCTCAGCCTCCTGAGTAGCTAGGATAACAGGCGTGAGCCAACGCCCGGCTAAACTTCCATTTTTTTAATTTGTAAAATAGTACCTGATTTTGCTCTTAAAGTCAGAAAATGGTCGGGACCTAGTCTCTGTGTATGTTGTGTAGGAGGTATGCCAATATTGGGACTTTAGCCTGGGCGCTATACCTTAGCTTTTTTGCTCAAGCCTAGTGTTCTACCACTTGAGCCACAGCTCTACTTCTAGATTTTTGGTGCTTCATTTAAGAGTCTTACAGGTTTTCCTGCTTGGGCTGGTTTCAAACCTCAGTCCTCAGATCTCAATCACCTGAGTAGTTAGGATTACAGGCTTGAGCCACCAGGGCCCCCAAGGACCCAATCTTTTGATATCCTCCTTATTAACTGTAACAATTTTTTTAAAAAGTACCTGGAGTGAATTCTAGGCTTTGAGGGTGCTAATGTATAGAAAAATGGAGCTAGAAGCTTCAGGACATGGATTAGACCAAAGACCCAAAGCTGAAAAGAAGTGGAGAGCGAGCCACTTGATTTGGGTTGGTTTTTCCTTCACTTGACCTGTGGTTCCCCATGTCTCAACTTCACAGGGTGTCTTCATCTTAGTGTTCGGTTGCCTCTCAGACAAGAAGGTGAGTCCACCCAAGCTTTCCCCTTGCTGCCTGGCAGTCTGAAGTGCAGGATCTAGCTGGCATAACTGGGGTACTTACCTCTCCTGCAGGTACAAGAGGCTTTACGCAAACACTTCTGTCGTACCCGGTTCCCCAATTCTGCCATCACCCTGGTGAGTGTTTGCTTCAAAATCTCAGCAGCTCAGGTATTCCCTAGTGTTCCTCAGAGATGTACACAGGTAGGCATAACTAGAAGGGTGTTTTTAGAATGAGCAGGTTTCAGGTTCAAGATCTCTAGAACTATGAAGAGACAGGCCAGCCAGAGCAGTCAGACCTGGTTTCCTAGGTTCCTGACTTCAATCTGAATGTCTGATGATGCTCTTGTCTGTGGTTTCCCTCATCTAAACTCAGGCCAGCACCTGAAGACAAAGGATAGATTGTTAGTCATGGGACCGATGTAGCTGCCCCTTTCTTGGGGATGACCAAAGAAAGCCCAGGAAGAGGGCAAGTGTGATGGTCAAAATGGAGGCAACCTCTTCATGTAGGGGCTGACTGTAATAATGATCACCTGTAACTGGGCCTTTCCATGTCTTCCTAGACCACAAATGAAACTTCTATCTGGAACACAGCAAAGGTAGAAGTGAAAAAGAGGTGAGTCAGCTTTCTCAGAAACAGCATGGAGTGAGGCTGGTATGATAAGCCCTTCCCTCCCAGCCAGGTTCTTGTCAATAGCTCCTCTTCACAGACCCAGTCCACAAAGAGTAGCTGTTTCTACATGGGCCTCAGAGGAAAAGGCATATCAACAAACCTGGGCCAAACTCACTGAAAATCCCTCTTCATACTACCAAGTTGTAAACTATCCTGAGAGACCTTTGACTTAAATGAAGTGCCCTGCTGGGCTTGGTGTCTAAATGGGGAAGGGCAGCCTGCAGAACTTAGGCAAGGTGTTCTGTCACTAGTCCCAATCCTGAGTGAATTCTTTCACAGAAAAGGCAGACACTTCAGGGTGAACCACATAGACACCTGTTCCTTCTCCCACTCCCCCACCAAAGAAATAAGAACCTGGGGAATCTGCCCCAGGAGCCCTTCTTCTCTCCCCCAGCCCAGCCCCTGGATAAAGGCAGGCTTTTATTGCTTTCAGTCATACTGGTTTCTCTTGCAGCTCACTTCTCCCCATCCCTCAATTCCCAAGCAAGAATAACATGAAAACCCAGCTGAAGCTACCTAAGGATCTAGTGAATAAGTCTGCCTTTGTGGCAAAGTGTTCAAAATAATGGCAAGCAAAACTGTCTGCCACATTTTAACTTACCTACAGTACATATTACAGGTAGAGTGGGTAAAAATGGTTTCAACTACGCAGTGACTTGTTATTTCTTTTTGAATTAGGAAGGAAAGATGAACAATCGACAGAAACTGCTTATCTTACAAATATTGGAGGATGAAGCTATCTCTTTTCAAGGTTTAGGAAAAGTCGAACTTAATTGGTTTCTCTTTAATTTTTTTAAAATCAATATAAGTTTTATGCATGCATAAAAAGGGACTGATACAAGCACATTTGAAAGAACTTCATTATCATTTTTTTTCTGTGTGTATCATACTGAACTTGAACTCAGGCTTGAACTCAGGCCTTGGACTTGCTAGACAAGTGTTCTACCACGTGAGTCATAACCCAGTCCTCATTATAAATTTTTTATTTTTGTTGGTCACAGGGCTTGAACTCTGGGCCTAGGAGATGTCCCTCAGCTCTTCAGCTCAAGGTGAACACCCTACCACTTGAGCCACAGCGCCACCTCCAGTTTTCTAGTGGTTACTTAGAGATAAGTGTCTCATGGACATTTCTGCCCAGGCTGGCTTTGAACCACGATCCTCAGATCTCAGCCTCCTGAGTAGCTAGGATTACAGGTGTCAGCTACTGGTGCCTGGTTTATAAATTTTTTTAATGGGGAGAAAAGTACCACTGTCTGACAGCACTTAAAGAAAACAAAGTATGAGTAGTGACTGGTTTTTGTTTAGTTTTCTATTTTAGTTTTTGGACACAGGTTCTTGCTAGATAGCCCAAGCTGGCCTCGAAATTGAAATCCTCCTGTTTCAGCCTTCCAAGTGCTGGGATTGTAGAAAAAAAGTGAACCACCATGTCTGGCTACAAGCACTGACTTCTAAAAGTGACAGGATCAGGCTAAGACTAGATATGGAGGAGTAAAGTTTAAGGAGTTTTCAGAAGATGGAGGAAACTGGTTGAATTAACCAAATTACAAAAGAAAATGAGAGGCTTCTGTGAAAATGTTGACCTATATCAATGACTTAGATCTGATTCAGTCTTTTTGAATTATATAGTCTATGGATATTTTTATAAAATGGGATGGGAATGATTTCTGTCAAAATAAAAATGAATATGCTATCACATGCCATGGAAAATATTGTTTTTATAAATATTTCATCTTTACTTAATTTGTATGCATATTTCTGTTGTGGGTAAAGTGGTACAAGCATTTCTATAACTGGATTAAATTATGCTTTCAAATGGAACATACTAACTAGAGTCATTGTGATGTTTCTATGCCTCATAGTTGTTCCAACTCTGAGAGGCCAGAGCTGTAAAGGCAGACAGGTCTTATGGCTCAGTATCAAGAGAACCACCTACTTTTTTTTTTTTTAAATAAAAATGAGACTGGGAGTGAGGGAAGGAGTGACACTGTCCAAAAAGAAATGTACTCATTACCTGACTTACGTAACTGTAGCCCCTCTGTACATCGCCTTTATGATAACAATTTAAAAAAAACTAAAATTAAAGAAAAAAAAAGAGACAGAGTTCTCCAGTACTTCTCTACTTTATTAGGGTTGACCAACATGGTATTCTTGTATCTAAACATTTAAAATTTTCAGTGATGTTTAGATTATGAATTATTTTTCTATAATTAATGTAGGCACATTGGTTTGTATTTTAAAGAAAATAATTATCTTTAGGACGCAGGAACAAGTGTACAATTTGCAAATGTTACAAAGATGGTTCCAAATCTCAGCTACCCCTTTTCCAAACTGCAACCCACTCATTTAGTGTCCAATGACAAGAGATCAAAAACAGCTGTTTAACATATCTGTGTGATATTCTTGTAAGTTAGAAATCCCTGAAAGAACAGTAAGCTGTGATTACTGGAAAGCTCAGAACACTGGCAAGGCTTAATTACAAAGTATTTAACAGAAGGCCACAAATGTCATTTTCCTATGAGGAGCTAGGAACTACAGGTGTCACTTAGTAATGCATTGAAACGGCATTGCCCAGTGTGAGTGCTGCACAGAAACCAGGTCTCCTCTTCTAGACCGATCACTTTGGATAAGCTTCTACTATCATAGCATGGCCCTGCAAAAGAAAAGAAAATCAGTTAGAGCAATGAGAGGTAAGAAGCCAGCCAGGACAGAGGCAAGAGAGACCAGTGGGAAAGTATAGCCTTTGGAAAGAAATGCACAGATCACCTGATGTGGAAGAAATAGTTGTATTATCAAGGCTCATAGAATTCACCAACATTATAGACCATGATAAGGACAATTTGCCTTCTGATGGTTAAAATGTGTTTGTGACTTTAAGTACCACTATCTCACAACACAGTGAAATTTGTGAAATTTATGTAATCACTTAATCTCAATAAAAAATTATTTTTAAAAAGTTTAGGGGAAAAAAAGAAAGTATAGACTTTGAAGTCTGATTCTGGCTCTGCCATTCAACTACAGTGTGCTCATGGAAAGTTACAAGCTAGCTGGGCATTGGTGGTTTATGCCTGTAATCCTAAACTACTCAGGAGGTTGAGATCTGAGGATCATGGTTCAAAGCCAGCTCAGGCAGAAAAGTCCATGAGATTCTTATCTCCAATTAACCACCAGAAAAACCAAGTGGCACTGTGGCTCAAAGTAGAAGAGCTTTATTTAGCCTTGAGTGAAAAAGCTCAGGGAGAGCTCCCAGGCCCTGAGTTCAAGCCCTATGACCAACAAAAAGAGAGAGAGAGAAAGAGAGAGAGAGAGAGGAAGGAAGGAAGGAAAGAAGGAAGAAAAGAAGGAAGATAAAGAAAAACAAGAGTTATGAGCTAGTTGGAACCTCAATTTTTCTCTTAAAATAGGGCTCATGATGCCCACTTCAAAAGATCTGTGGGGAAAAAAAAGGTTTGTGGACAGTGAATCAGATAGCATACAGTATATATACACATACCTATATTGGTATATAAACACCAATAAATATACATGGATACATACATGCCTAGACTGTCTATCAGCATGATTTTTGAAAGAGGCTCTATAAAAGATTGTTATCACCATCATCTTGTATGGTGCTAAGAAATCAAGTCCAGGTACGACAAAACTAGCAAGACTTAAGAAACAAAGAACTCCCACTCATCTGGTTGAACCACTACTAAATATCCCCATTGCTGCTGATCACATGTATGGTGTATAACATGTGTACACCGTTATATGTTATAGACTGTGATAGACAATTTGCTCCGGAAAGTTAGAATGAACTTGTGACTTTAAATGAGCATCATTATTCCACAATACTGTGAAATTCGGGAAATTATGTAATCACTTAATCACAATCAAAAAAAAAAAAAAGAACCTCGAGGAAGGGAGGGAGGGAAGGGATGGTAGGGGGAAAACAATGGAGGGGGTAACAATGCTCAATAGGAAATGTACTCATTACCTTACTCATGTAACTGTAACCCTCTGTATAGTATCTTTACAATTAAAAAAAAAAAAAAGAAAAAACCCAGGGATAGCACCAAGGCCCTGAGCTCAAGCCCCAGTCCACCACTGTGTGTGTGTGTGTCGGGGGGGGGGGGGAAGAAGGGGGCATGTTTTATGCTGTTTCCCAGCAATTGCATAAGCCATTATCTTTAAAAAACAAACTTACAAGCCTAACATGGATCAGGCAGCTCAGCCTCAAGTCCATGTCCATGGCTCCAGAGCCAGCAGTCACCATGCTGAGTAAATAACATGGGCTGTGTTTATATTATTGTCTGTGTAATACATAGGAGGCTCCAAAAAAAAAAAAAAGAAAAGAAAAGAAATCAAGTCCAGGGCCTCATGTATGCTATGCAATACTCTCACTGAATCATATTCTCAGCTCCCAAATTAAGGCTTCAAAAAGTTAAGTCATTCATCCAAATCTCAAAGCCAGGATCAGAAACAGGTCTAGATCACTCCAAAACCTAGGCATTACCCCTCTTCAGTAATGGCCACAAGTTACAGCAGTGATCTGAGGGTTCATAAAGACAGTGCTATGTACTCACAGAGTGCAGTGCTAGGTACTAGCTCCACCCTGATTTGAACTAATATAGACATTTACAATTTCATGAGTCTAAATCCTATCTGAAAACCACAATCATTTTAACCTTTAAACTTCCAGAAAACAGCCGGCTTCTAAGTTCAGTTAAATTCCCACCAATACTATTAAGAAACTATTATTCATGGGGGAGTAGAGATAAGGGGAAATGACAGAGGGGGAATTTGATCAGGGCACATTTTATGCAAGTATAGAAATATCACAATGATCCTCCACTCCATACAACCCATATATGCCAATAAAATGTGGTTTTTTCCCTTAAAAAAAAAGACAAACTATTACTTATAAGGCACCAAGTTGAACACTGTGTAGGTTTAAAGATTTGCTACCTGGTCTCTATCTTCAAGCTAGTATACACTGTAGTTCAAAACAAGCAGTTAAGTACAAGACTAAACAAACAAAAACAGCAAGGATGGAAAGAACAGACTGACTTGGAAGTTATCCTACAGTGTTCAGACTGATGGTGCTTCTGCAATGCTGATTATGGCAGAAGACAAAGCTCTGGCCCTGGGTTATAAGCCAAAAGCATATTTGAGGTAAAGTAAATGCTCCAGTGGAATGCCTCTGATTTCATTATTTTATTATTGAAGCTAACTCTGTTCTTTACCTAGGGATTTTGTAAATGTATCTCAGGATTCAAAAGATCAGCTATTACTCGGGTAGGTGGTAATATATATCCCTGGGCTTTCACCAAAAGTGCTTGCTATATTTATTAAACAGACTTTAAAGGATGTGAACACTTCCTTGCCTGGGCTGGCTTTGAATCTTGATTCTCAGATCTCAGCGTCTTGAGTAGCTAGGATTACAGGTGTGAGCACCGGCAGCTGGCTTGTGGGATTTTTTGCTTTTAATAATACCCTTTTGGGGGGATTTTTTCCCCCATTTTTTTCCTTATACATTTTGGGTTCTTTTTTTCCCCTTCTTCTTTTTCTCCCCTATCAGAGACCAGGACTTGAACTCCCTGTCTTTTACACTCACTGGCAGACACCCTACCATCTGAGCCAAGGCTCCAAGCTCCTCCTTGTACCTTCTTTATTCACTTGTTATATGCATATAACTTTATTCTTTTTTGTTACAATATAAAGCATTTCTTTTCATATTGCTATACACTCTGTTGTAATCTTTGTTTTTCCTTTCCTTTTTTGTGTGCTGGGGCTTGAACCCAAGGCCTCACTTATGTGAACAAGTGCTATACACTGATCACATCCCCAGCCCACCCCATCTTCTTTAATAGCCTTTCATAAAAGCCTCTTGATACTGTGACAGTTTCTCTCCCCAACAGGGTGCTAGCCTCACTGGCTTCCATTATGATCTTGAGACTAGCCAAGCCCTTTCCCAAACGTTACCCATTTATTCTTTTTCTGTTTATATTAACTTTCATCATTTGCTTTATTATCTATTTCCTTAACTCTCCAGTATAAATTTAATGAGGACATGTCGTTCAGTTCATATTATATATCCAACACTTAACCAATACTTGTGTAGTTGAGTGTTGAGTAAGTTGAGTTTGAAGGAAATTATAGGCTAAAAATTAAAGTTTAGTTGGGTGTGGTGGTATATGCCTATAATCACAACGCTGGGAAGGCTAAGACTTGGGGATCACAAGTTCCAAGTCAGCCCGGTCCCCATAAACAGACCCTTTTGCTAGTAATAATTTTAAGACACTATTTGTTTTTCTTCAGACTAACACAGTTTTTTAAACTGGGCCTGGTGATACATGTCTGTAATCTCAGTATCTTGGAGAGTGAAGTAGAAAGGGCAAGAATTTGAGTCCAGCCTGGACTACATAGTAAGACTATCCAAAAAAAAAAAAGCACTGTTTTAATGCTCCAACATGAATAATCTCAACCTCAGCTACAGGAGGTTTTGTCCCTGATTCTTTCCTGAGGACATCTGAATATGTAGAGATATTTCTGGTTATTTCTAATATGAGTTTACATATGGGACAGGATAGAGATGAGGAGTTTGTTACTGATGAAATCCGGTGGATGTGATTAACATACTAAAATACACAGCACAAAAAATTCTGACCCAATTCATTCTTCTTCTGGCTCCCTAATCATACTGACACTCATCCTGGCTTTTGATGAACCAGTGTGGAGTTTAATGTAGTTTCTCAGATCATCATCTCCTCACTTACTATACATACTATAATCTTCTTGAAGAAAGATACCGGGTATTATCATTCATCCAAAAAAATACTATTTATGCTCAGACATTTAAATCCAAAGAACAGTGGCTATGTGGACTCTGCACTATGGACAGTGCTGTTTGTGAGTTGTCTCTCTCCCAGGACTAGGCACAGAGGTAAGGCTCTAGATATAAATGGCCAAGGTTTTCTGTGAATGTAGTTACAAAGGTCAGAAAGCATTCTGGCTGAAGGTATAGCTCATGATAGAGTGCTTGTTTAGCATGTATGAGGCCTTGGGTTTAAACACCAGCACATACACCAGAGTTCCTGATTATGATTCTAAAATGATCTAAGTTACAGACACCTTATTGTTTCAAAGTCTCTGAGAAAAAGCTCTTTTAAATGTATGACTTTATGCTTTTCAAATATCCTATTTATTAACCTTATTCAGTAACAACATTTATAAAATCTGTCAAAAAACAAAGTATGTTCATATCAGGATCAAAGAATTAAAAAAGCCTAGACTTAGACTTCCTTTTGGATTTTATTCCTAGAATGTAACGCTGTGGCAGGCAGGGGGTTGGGTCTATAATGTGAGAGAGGTAGATAGGAAAACATCTGTCAGAATAAAAATCTCTCCAGCTGAACAACAGTAAGTGATCCACCAGTAAATTAATTCCCTAATAAAAGTCCTTCAGTTCTCTAGAAAGACAGCTTTATCTCTTGAAGAAATTTCATAGATTAAGGTGCTATACTAAATTGATAAATGAATAAAAGCTTATCCTTAAGGAAAAAAATATACTGAGATGTTCCTAACACTACTGTCTGTTGGGGTAAGTGATTGTGTATGTGTGTGTTGGTCCTGGGCTTGAACTCTGGGCCTGCATGTTGTCCCTGTAAG